TCTCCTCTCCGTGATAAGATGCTGCGTTACTCTACCTGCTTGAAGACGTTAGCGTTGATTCATCGCTAGCATCCATATCGGTAGCTGCCGGCGATCGGCCAGTTCTGCATTTATCCAGCGTCATTCTCCGCATCTCGAGCATGGTCCCCGATCAACACCGGGAATTGCGCGAGACGTGGGAAATCAGTCATCTCTGGTAACATGTGGAAAGAAGATTAGAACGAAATAGCATTCACTTTGGCGGCGAATTTTCCCGCAGAGATTGGCCTCAATTGGTCAGCAAAGCCGCCAACATTGATTCAAACCAAGTCTCTACTAATATTACACGAGATATCGACTGGCGATGAAACGTTACGCGCTGCTCCGCGCCAACACACAAACGCAAGGGTCCATTCATTCGTAGTACATATTAGCAGTACTGCATGCCCGTAATCGAATCAGAGAAAGCTGAGAAGCGGCACTGGCTGATCTGCGTGGAACTTGGGGCAACAATACGGACAGTTCATCTCCCCAAAACCCCGGAACTGGACCTGGAGCTGGAGCGGGACCCAGGCCGGAGACGAGAAACACAGTGAATCACTACCTGCAAGGGGCGGGACAGGAACGTGTATTTAATTTAAGCAGCTGTCCCAGAGCTGCTCGCCCTGCTCCAAGCTCGTGTGGCCTGACCCTGACAAACTCATTCGACCATCAGCCCACGCCGACAATGTTTTCCAGGGCCATTGTCGCCGCATTGGCTCTGAGCGGCCCGGCTTTTGCTCTGTGGCCCGTGCCGAAACACTCGTCAACCGGCAATGACACGCTCTTTATTGACCAGACGGTCCAGGTTACCTACAATAGTGAACAGGTGTGGTGGACTCCTCCTCCATATGATGCCCCCGGATGCCCGGACTTTGCTGAGACCAGGATCGATGACCAACAGGTTACTTACACGGCCGGCTACGTGCCTCCCAGCGGACCGCATTTCACCAGCAAGGAGATCGTTCAAGGCGGCCTCTCGCGCACATTCGGCGCCATCTTCCAGCAGGGCTTTGTGCCGTGGATGCTGCGTGAGCGTGATTCCAACTCTGAGCCGGCTCTAGGCGGAACACGCATCCGGACACTACAGATTATACAGACAAAGCACGATTCCGCGAATATCTTCAAGCCTCTGAATGGCGCAGTAAACGAATCCTATGCGCTGGATGTCGACGCAAAGGGCCACGCATCTCTCACCGCTCCGTCGTCAACCGGCATTCTTCGAGGCCTTGAGACCTTCTCCCAGCTCTTCTTCAAGCACAGCTCCGGCACTGCCTGGTACACGCAGCTCGCGCCTGTTTCGATCCGCGATGAGCCCAAGTATCCTCACCGCGGCCTCCTGCTGGATGTCAGCCGTCACTGGTTCGAGGTTTCCGACATTGAGCGCACCATTGATGCTCTGGCCATGAACAAGATGAACGTGCTGCATCTGCACGCTACCGACACGCAGTCATGGCCGCTGGAGATCCCGTCTCTGCCTCTGCTGGCCGAGAAGGGCGCCTATCACAAGGGCTTGAGCTACTCGCCGAGCGACCTTGCGAGCATCCAAGAGTATGGCGTTCATCGAGGTGTCCAAGTCATCATCGAGATTGATATGCCGGGCCACGTTGGAATCGACAAGGCATACCCTGGGCTTAGCAACGCCTACGGAGTCAACCCGTGGCAGTGGTATTGCGCCCAGCCGCCCTGCGGATCCTTCAAGCTGAACAACACGGATGTCGAAAAGTTCATTGACAAGCTGTTTGAAGATTTGCTGCCGCGCCTGTCGCCGTACTCGGCCTACTTTCACACCGGTGGCGACGAGTACAAGGCGAACAACTCGCTGCTCGACCCGGCCCTTCGCACAAACGACATGAACGCCTTGCAGCCCATGTTGCAGCGCTTCTTGGACCATGTGCACGGCAAAGTTCGTGAGCTGGGACTTGTTCCCATGGTTTGGGAGGAAATGATCCTGGATTGGAACGCAACTCTGGGCAAGGATACCGTTGCCCAAACTTGGCTTGGCGGGGGAGCGATTCAGAAGCTTGCTCAAGCTGGATACAAGGTTATTGACAGCAGCAACGACTTTTACGTGAGTATTGGCATGAATAAACTTCTGGTGCTGTATCAATTTTACTGACTTTTGTTCTGCTGCTAGTATCTCGACTGTGGTCGTGGTGAGTGGCTTGATTTTGCAAACGGGGACCCCTTTAACAACAACTATCCCTTCCTTGACTGGTGCGACCCGACCAAGAACTGGAAGCTCATTTACTCGCACGAGCCCACGGACGGTGTGTCCGATGATCTCAAGAAGAATGTCATTGGTGGCGAAGTTGCCGTCTGGACTGAGACCATTGACCCGACCAGCTTGGATACAATCATCTGGCCGCGAGCGGGAGCGGCGGCTGAGATTTGGTGGTCGGGCAAGATAGATGAGAAGGGAAACAACCGATCACAGATTGATGCACGGCCGAGATTATCGGAGCAGCGAGAGCGTATGTTGGCTAGGGGAGTCCGAGGAACGCCAATTACGCAGCTGTGGTGTAGTCAGGTTGATGTTCACAACTGTGAGTCTGGGAATTACTGATACACAGGTTAATTAGCAGAGTATGTCATGTGGTATATATGAACGTTTCTTTTTCGTGCTGCTGTTGTTGAATGCTGAGGACATCTCGTTTGTGATGACGGTAAATCACTTGTAACAAATAAATCCAGGTCATTCAGATGCCATTCATATCAATGATTTACGCTGTCTGTCATTTTTGTAGTTGAGACAGGCCACCTCAACATGACGACAGTCTACGCGTCTTTACAGTTGTTGTTCTCAAAAGGGAATTACACACAAACCGACAAATCACACACTGTTGAACCCGCGCCCTCTCCCAACATGGATTCCATATGTAGTGATTTGGCACTGTGAAGCAGCTTCAGTGTCTTTGATGTCATATGCAGGGGGCAACACTCCGCACTATGGAGCAATGGCTCTGTCCCCCTCCAAGTCGGACTGCTGAGAAATATTTTGTCACCTACGGAGCAGACTACGACCACTGTACTCCATACTCCAAATTTGAACAACATCACCCGTAATACTGATCCACCGAATACAATAGGAATTGGTGCTAGAAAAAGGGGTAGACTGGGACCAAAAGTCGGGACAACCAAATCGACTCCCGTGGAAACCCCCGATTCGCGGATTTAATACTTGCTTGCATACGGAGTAGGGTGGGATGGCGGAGCTGTGCAGAATCGGCTTCTCGGATCTCCTTCAGGTTCCTCCTAGTCTCTGAGAATTGCCGTGGTGGGTCGCACCCTATCTGGCATTCAATGCTCTAGAGGCTATACTCTCACACGTCGATTGGATAGTAACCCCAGAGCTCGTATTCATGATTCCAAGACCTGTGCTTGCCTTTCCAGGGTGCTTGGTTGAGTTATGGTTCGTGTAAACGCCTAATGAACGACACTCCCTTCAATCTTGCGAACCCCTAGTAGGATACAGGTATATAAAAACATAGACACCACCCGCCTAGTCCGGCACTTGTCAAACACCTAGAGGCGAACCAACCAACTCACATTCTATTAATCTATTCCTTCTTCAACATCAACACATACAAGATGCACGTTCCTCTTGCATCACTCTCATTTGCTTCCCTCGCCGCGGCCTCTCTACCAGAGGGCGTGATCGAGATCCCGCTCCAGCGTATCAAAAACCAAACCGCGTATGGCGCCGAATTCCTAGTCGGCAACCCGCCGCAAAAGGCCATTATTTCGGCCGATACGGGCAGCCCGACGTATGCTTTCGAGTCACCTCGTACGTATTAGTACTCCCAATTCCTCCTTCTCATTCAATTACACGGGAAGGGATATGTCGATGACATGGTTTACATCGCTGACCTTTGTCTCACAGGCAATGTCGTATGCCAGAATGGCTTCTGCTCAAGCTACGGCATTTACGACAACACCACTTCCACCACAACAGAATGGATCAGCGGTAGCTATACCGATATGCTCATCGACCATGGCTTTGGAAGCTTCACCAACGACACTCTTCAGTTCGGCGGCATCACCGTCAAAGACATGATGTTTGGCGTTGTCGAGGAAAACTTTGCTGGTTTTCCCATCAACACGCAACAGGCTGCCATCTTCGGCCTTGGAGCCTTCTGTGGGACCAAGGCCTGCGACAGCTACCCGACTTTCCTCAACCAACTATACGAGCACGGTGTCATTTCCCGCCGTGCCTTTAGTGTATACTTGGGACCGAATGATCCCGACGCCACAGGAACGCTGCTCATCGGCGGAATCGATCTTGCGAAACGCCAGGGTCCCGTTCACAAACTCAATGTCCGGGATCCGACCGCCATCGGGGCGAATCAGCAGCCAAACTGGATCCCCCTTTCCAGCCTTGAACTGCAGCTTGCAAACGGAACCAAAGTCACCTCTACCTATGACAATGGCACATACGCTCTCTGGGACACCGGCTCTCCCGGATGGTACGTCCAGCAAGATCTCTTTGACGCCCTCACCAGCTATTGGGGGCTCGGAAACCCTGATCCAAATGACACCTTGTTTGTGGACTGCAAGTTCCGTGAGCCATCTGATGACTCCATTGCTGTGGATCTTGGTCAGGGATTTGTCTTCAATGTGCCGCTGAGTTCTCTGCCCATAGACAACGGCGATGGCACTTGCACTGCACCAGTCGCGCCGTTTGGTACTTTGATGGGCGATGCCTATCTCCGCAATATCTACTTTACGTTCGATTACGACAACCTGACGATTGAGTTTTCTCTCGTGAATTACACTGATGAGACGAACATTGTCAAGATTGAATAATTAGTGTAGCAGCCAAGCATCGAGTGGGCATACCTATGGTCTATAGTTACTTGGGGATAGGTGGAACACCGACTTGTACGTGCGATTATGAATGATGAGGCATCAATGAAGATATATAGTAATTCAATAATCATAATTATTTACATCATATTTTGTTAGCTGTGATCTATACCTATTCAGTGCGCCACCGGGAGCTTTCCTCTTGGCTGCGCATCACCAAACAGAATATCTACCGCCGCAGAAAATGCTTCGACTGTCGGCTCATAGACAGCGATGTAAGTGCCAATCTGAACATCATCCAAAAAGTCATACGGCGCACATGTTGCAATTGAGATCAAGGGCGATGTACCACGCCTCTTGGCAATTTCTAGACCGAGCTCCTTCTGGTATTTCGACTCACGGGCATTGCGAGTGGTCAAAATAACAACATCAGCCTCCTCCACCTGCTTCCACTGCTCATCGGTTAGAGTAGAGTTGGTAAATCGGACATCGGAAAATTGAGGCGCTCTGTTACGGATACGATCTCCAAAGGTCTCCCCAATCCAAGGAACGCGAGTTGGCAGAGTGCCGCTATCAACAGCTCCGCCGATGGGCACATCGGGCCCGGGAGAGACAAATGCAATCTTTGTGGTCGACTTGAGGGGCAGAAGACCCTCTTGGGCCCGGACAAGCGTAGTTGCATCTGCATATACTTGGTGAGCGAGCTTCTCTCCTCTCTCGTTGATTGCTGCTAATGTCGCTGGCGGCTCTGCGTGGAGAGCGACATCCCAGTTCGTGTATCTATCCTTTAGCTTTCGGAGACGCTCCAGTGATTCGTCAACTCTCTCCTGAGAGAGCTTTCCGGTGTTAATAGCTTCACAGACGTGATCAACAGCTGCCGATTGCACGTCGAAAGTATGGCAGATCATGACGTTGTCAACACCCGCCTGGAATGCCATGAGTGATCCTTCAACAGTGCCATAAGTCGCTCGGACGCCATCCATTTCAAGACAATCAGTCATGATGACACCGTCATATTTCCACTCATTTCGCAAGATTCCAATACTATCTGGGGACAGAGTTGCAGGTAAGCCATCCTTCAATAGCTGTGGGAGAGAAATGTGAGCCGTCATGATCATCTCAATGTTGTCGGCAACGGCATCGCGGAACGGAATCAGTTCCAGTTTCTCCATGTCAGCCCTTGATTTATCAATGACGGGCAATCCGTAATGTGAATCCACGGCGGTATCTCCATGGCCTGGGAAGTGCTTGATACATGGCACGACTTTGTGCTCTCTCAGTCCTTTTGTGCAGGCGGCTGCGAATTTGGACACTGTTTCTGCTTGGTCGCTGGGGCTTCGGACACCAATCACGGGGTTTAGTGGCTCTGAGTTGATATCGCCAACCGGGGCGTAGTTCATGTTGATGCCGAAGTATCGCAGCATCTCGGCCGTGGCCTTTCCAACCTCATAGGCAGAGTCGAGAGAACCAGCGGCGCCGAGAGTCATAGGGCCGGGCTGCTGAGAGGCAACGGGTGGTGAAATGCGAGTAACCAATCCATTTTCTTGATCTATTCCAATGAATAGAGGCTGGCTGTGGCCTGCATCCTTGGCAAGCTTCTGGAGACCCAAACACAGCGCCTGGAGCTGTGCGGCATCAAGCACGTTGCGCTTGAACAGGACAATTGCTCCGACACCGTAGTCACGGATCAGAGTTGTGATTTCCCTGTTAATCTCCCGGCCGTGAAAGCCAACAGCAAATAGCTGAGCGTAAACAAGTCAGGCATGTATCGTGTTGGCGAGAAGGTGGTTAGATCTTACCTGGCCGACTTTTTTGCGCTGCTCCGCTGACACCATTTTGACTGTCTTGAAGCTGATCCTGGATACAAGACGACCAGTTATCGAAGCCGAATATCTCTCCTTCCTAATTCATATGCGTCTTGATGAGAGTCTGAAGAAAATCTATGTTTCGGTTCGCGATTTCTGTTGGGCCAGGTAGGCGAAGGTCCAAAGTTGGATCCTTATTGAGCTCAATTCACCACTTGCGGGGCATCAACCTCGGCGGGCTCTTTACTAACAATGTAACGTCTCGGATGCCGCTGCCGAAAATTGCTTGAAGCTTATCTTCTTCAGTTCATTATTCCCCGGAAACTGCTGTTTGGGAATGCCTCGATTTGTTCGCCGATATAGGCTATTCTGTCATTGTCTCTTGGGGTGGGGGTCAGGCGATGTTTTAGCCAGCAATGGCATTGGCCTGGCTATGAGAAAAGTGGCTTGAGAATGTAACGTGGAATTTTGACCCCCAACAGTATGGACAAATGAGCTCGCGGGGGTTTGAAGCAGTTGATGCACCATTGTGTTGACTGGGGAAGAATTGGTACACTCAATATTACAATCGTCTCTCTACATTATCCGGATTACAATCTATATCTCGAGACTCTCAATCGCCCCTTTCAGAGCCGAAAAGTTGACCTATCGCAGAATTGTCGTGTCTTCCGCATAATCTCCAACCCCGCTGCGCGGCGACGAATAACTTCCCCGCCATGGAGACATGAATGATGGTGGGGGAGGGGCAATTCTGTGAACAAGTTGACGTTCAAGCAGTGAGACGGCGATGTCTTTGTTTCCATGAAGATATAAAGGCAAAATACATACGCTACAGCAGTCTGAATCTGCCTCACAACACACACTTGACCACATATGGTTGGAGCAAACAGGGGACGCCTAAAGGGATACACGGAAACGACATATGGTGTATAAATGACAAACTGAAGAATTATCCATTATACTGCTATACATACTCTACTAATAGGAGATATCTATGTATTGTGATGGTAGACTTGAAATAGCCAGATCTGACTTCCTTGGCCAAAATCATGATGCCATTTGCTGAAATGCTGCCATCATATCGGCCATTGCCTGCGCCCCGTCGTCGGAAAATAGCATCTTGGAGTTTTGCCACGTTTCTTCTGCTTCTCGTTTAGATCTTTCAAACATCTTTTGGTCAAATTCCGAGACCAGAGGTGTCATGATTTGTTGAAACTCTGCAGCATTCTCAGCCTTATCCCACGATTGGATGATTGCATTCGCAAGATCCATTGAGTCCCACAACGCAAGGTTGACACCTTCCCCTGCCCATGGCATCATCAAATGAGCTGCATCACCAATGATGGCAACACCCGGTTGTGACTCCCATGTATGGCCAATAGGGAGCATGTACAGCGGCTTTGGCTCGGACGGCTGGGTCGCGTTTGGTGTAACCAGCGTCTCATCGACGGCAGTGGAAATGAGATCTTTGACTTGCTCACTCCATGTACCAAAAAGATCCGGACTGTCTACCAACGCCCTTTTCAGGTTTCTGGCATCGAGGACTACCGAAGGTGCGCAAAACGGAGTTTCATCTTCTGTCGAGACTCCAATGTATAGCCGAATGGAGTTTTGTACCCCACGATGGCTTATAACACCCCTTTTACTGCCGAGAATGAAGCACGAACCAGAGCCTACCAGGGTAGACAAAGCAGGAAAGCGAGTTGTGGCGTTGAGTATGTCTAACGTGAGATATTGGATGCCTCCGTAGTAGGGTTGAACGGTTGTTATGAGATTGCGAATCTTGGACCAAGCCCCATCTGCGCCGACCACGAAATCGTGCTCAAAGATTCCGTTGGCATCAAAATCAAGGGAAATCCGGTTCGTAGATGTTCGGTAGGCTCTGAGTAGCTTGCACTCCCATCTTATATGCTCGGCGGGTATGGACGCGAGCAACAAGTGCGTGAGTGTGCTACGCGCAATTTCGGGGCGACCTTGAGGCCCTGGACCTCCATTATCTCTATGAGTTACCCGGGCATGCTTATTCATGACGATGAGCTCTTCACTGCAGTCAAGTATATGCTTCTGGAAGTCTTCCCACAGACCACAGGCACGTATGGCTGTTATGCCAGACTCTTGATGAAGATCTAGCATGCCGGATGGTGTCAGAAGAGTCGAATCATCGGGTTTATCCCGAAGTTCATAGAGCATGAACGGAATCCCATGTTTATGGAGGAGAACGCCAAGACAGAGACCGGATGGCCCTCCGCCAACAATGGCGATGCTGGGACGTGAATCTGAGGCTGACATGGCGTGGATGTTGTTCAGAAAGCGACGAATAGCTGCTAAATGAGAGCATATTCTGACAGTTCAGCTACAACATCTCCTCTGGAGTCCCTTGATTTAAATAGCTACAGCTGAAATCCTTCATCGTGTCCTTTCGGTATAGATTCAAGTTCACCAGTGCTGTCTTTTTCACATCTACTTACTGAGATATCAAATAGCATACGTAACCAGACACGTTGACTCTACTGAAAAGCACCTTCAATCGGTATCATCTGGACAACTTCGGACACGAGGCATGAACAAGATCCTGATCAATGCCTCTTCACGTGACCTCGGGCGCTCGTCCGGGCGCTCTCGGACCCGAAGCCGGTATCGGCGGAATTATTTCGGATGGCCGAAGTCTCTCGGATTAAAGCATTGTATGGCTGTCTTTTGAGGCATCGTGACAGAAGTTTTGACAATACTGGAAGTGTTGGTTGCGTGAAGATGGCCATGATGTCAGTAATTTGTATTTAGATTAAGATACTGTGTTTGACTCTTGATATGTAAATTACTATATATATTCCTAAGCTCAGATCATGTCCCATTCGCTTCGCTCTACAGCTGCAGCTGCAATCGACTGGGCATGAACACGTGTGCCCAATCTCTCCTCCTTCATCCCTCAAATCTACATACAGACTCTGCGCAATGATATCTCGTCCCCTCAGCCGACTTCGCAAAAATCTGCTCGGCAGAACCCTGGCCACACAATCAAGTGGTCAGGGAAGAGCAGCCGGCACGAAAGATTGGTCGGCGGCCCAGTATCTCAAGTTCGCTGAGCAGCGCACCCGGCCCTCGCGTGATCTTATTGCTCAAGTGCCTCTGGCATCGCCAACTCGAATCATCGATATCGGATGCGGCCCTGGCAATTCGACCGAAGTTCTTGCCAAACAATGGCCAAACGCACGTATTTCGGGCATGGATTCCTCGCCCGACATGATTGAGACTGCACGCAAGGCACTACCTAACCTGGACTTTACTGTGGCGGATCTGAAGAATTATACGCCAGAAGGGCCGGTTGACCTTCTCTTTTCCAATGCCGTCTTTCAGTGGATCAGCTTTGAGGACAGGATCCCCATCATCAGCCGGCTGATTGAATCCCTCAAGCCTGGAGGTGTTTTTGCATTCCAGGTTCCCGACAACCACACTGAGCAAACTCATGCAGCCATGCGTGCAGTTGCCGAGAACGGTCCTTGGTCAGAGACGCTTGGACGTCTCAAGCCAGCACTGGGACCCTTCCAGACGCCTCTTGAGCTTTACAATGGACTGAAACCACTGTGTTCTTCAATAGATGTGTGGCATACGCATTACCAGCATCCTTTGGGCGGCCACCAGGAGATTGTTGAATGGGTCAAGGGCACGGGATTACGGCCCTTTATCGATCCGCTCGATCCTGAGCAGAAGGAAGGATTTCTAGCGGCGTACCTGGAGAAGCTCAAGGGGCTTTACCCCAGTTGCGATGATGGAACAGTCTTGTTGCGATATCCTCGACTATTTTTTGTTGCTGTCCGCGCTTGAGTTTGGCACGAGCATTGTATCTATCTACACGAGCCTAGTTTGATTCATACAAATACAACTTTTGAAACGAACAATATGCTAAACTTTGGCGAAAAATGCGCGATTCTTTCGGAACCTAGCAACTGCCACGAGAGCCGTAGCACCTAGTCCCATGCAGCCTGCGTACGTGATTGCGGGCCTGTATGCCTTGAATCCGCTTCCTGTCCCTCCGTAGGCGTCGAGAAGGTATCCAGCGATTGGAGAACCCTAACGTTGTTAGCAACTTGAGTTGTATATCGATGCTGTGGATGGGTTATAGGGGCTTACCATGAGATATCCACCGCCCCAACCTGTAACAATCATGGCCATGGCCACAGACACTCTCTGAGACCCAAAGACATTGCCCACTACCGTAGGCATGGTGGAAAAGAAGCCACCGTTAGCCGCGCCGTTGATAACAACGAAAACAATCAGCGGAGCCAGAGTGGTCGAAGCAGGCCATATCGCCAACATCGTGACGGCGTTGATCAACAGAGAGAATAATAATACGTTAAGAGCGCCAAATCTGTCACAGAGGAAGCCACAGAGTATTCTACCCGCGGCGGACGAGAGGTTGAAGCCCGCCAGTAGACCAGCACCGGTTGATGCAGACAGACCGACTGACCTGCTGTAGAGCGGAATAAAGAACGCGGGAACCAAGAGTGGGAAAGTCGCAACCGCTCCAGCAGCAAATATGATTACGAACCCGAAATCGCGGAAAAGACGCCTGAACACATACGCTGTTAGCTTAGGGATTGAGCCCCCCGGACGATTCGTCTCACCATTCGATGAAGACTGCAGTCTTGACTGGCGATCTCTCTTTCACTAGCCATGCCGCAGGGAGACCGGTGGCCAGCGTCACCAATCCAAGAACTCGATACGCCCATGCAGTTCCATGACGCTGGATTACTGCATCCAAAAGAAAGCTTGTTGTCGCTCCACCAAAGCCTCCCCCGGCGAATACGATGCCGTTTGCCAGCCCCCTCTTCTTGCTGAAATATTGTGCCGGGGTAGCAGATACAGCCATGAAGCAGAGGCTCATCCCAAGACCAAGTGTAACGCCAGAGGTGACGAATAATCCTGCGAGGCTGGAGACTGCGAAGCTGCTCACTATCTCAGACATGCCGAGGAGAAAAATTCCTAGCAAGGCTGTTCGCTGTGCCCCAATCGCTCGGATGATGCGCGCGTTGAGAATAGCCATGCAGGAGATGAGGGCGATGGCTAATGAACCAACGTAAGACAGGGTTGCAGGAGTTGAAAGTCCCTTTTCCACAAGAGCTCCTTGGATCACTCCCCAACTATAGCCCATTCCTACAAACTATGAATGGATTCGTATCAGTGATGTAACCTTACCCAACTACGCATCATGTTGGAGATCTAGATATGTACTCACCCACCATGAGATGATGGCACAAGCACCCACGACGACCCAACCATATCCCCCATCCGGCACGACCGAGTCTGCTAGACGAGAAGCTTCCAAGACATCGTCAGATGAAGAGGTTTGAGACTCGTCAACGGTTGCATTGTTGTGAAACCGGTTGTGCCCGGATGCGTTACTCTGTATGGGCAGCTCAACGAGCTCAACCGCGGTGGTCGTTGAAGTCGCCATTGTGATGGAAAATAAGATACAACAATGCTGTGTTTCTCACCAGGACACAGACTTTATATCAACGGCCAGCTGTGTTTTTTTTTTTTTTTTGCTGATAATCGCTATAGGCCGTGGTGAATTCTTAGGCCGAGCGGTCCACATCCTCGTACGCCCTCTGCTTGACAAGATTCGGAGACAAAAATTGGAGCAGCGTTGGTGGCGCCCTTATGCCGGTATTGAATGAGCCGAGGACGGACGCAAGCCAGAGATGAGTCAGCAATCGGTTATTCGTTGCTTTTTGCAATGTACGTTGCTTTTGAATAGATAAAGTGAGATTGCTCTTATACGCTTTGGCATCGGCTGTGGGCTCAGATCCCGGTGTGGGATAGGTACACGTGTACTCGTATGTGGACGGATGGGTCACTTATTGTTATGATGATGAGCAAGCACTAAAGCTGTGAAGCAAAATGAGTAAGTTCACTCAATTGTTCATGTTCTTTTATTCATCTGCCTGTATTGGCATATTTTTGTACAAGGCCATCCCTGGTGCCTGTCAAATTATGTCGCTAAAATGTTCACAGAAATGCAATCGTCATCTTCGCTCTCAACCCTGAAACGGAGTCTCAAAGGGCCTCTCTGCCTGGGGCGTAATGCGAGCAAGGTGTCGCCTCTGTCCGTTCTCCCAATCCACAAGGGCGCTGTGCTGGGTGACTCTGTTGTCCCAAACAACAACGGTCCTGTCCTCCCACTTGACACGAGCCTGGAAATCGGCGCCTAGAGCTAGATGGTCATACAGGAACTTGAGAAGAGTGTCGGACTCTTCCTTCTTAAGGCCAACAATGTCGCGAGTGACTACGAAGTGAATGTTAGCTATCCGGATTTTATGATAGCCTAGCCAGTGTTTAGGGCACACGAGACTTACACTGAGGGTTGACGTAAATGGCCTTCTCTCCCGTAGCAGGGTGAGTTCGGATGATGGGGTGAGTATGAACAACAGGGTCTCGTCGCTTGATGCTGTTGCGAGCAGCGGCGGCGTTGACCTGTTCAATACCCGAGTGGGTGGCCTGGAGGCCGTGCAGACGCTCCTGGAAGAGAGGGCTGAGTCGCTTGTAAGCAGTGACGGCATCGGTGAAGATGGTGTCGCCTCCAGTCTCGGGCTTGTCCAGGATGTACAAGAAGGTGGTTCCGGGAGGCTGAGCCTCGTATGAAACATCAGAGTGCCATGCCACAGAGCTGGTTCTGGTCTTGAAGTAGTCCAAGTGGCCCTTGTCGTTCACGCCACGGTGGACGAGGTGAACCTCGGGATAGTTCTCAGGGGAGCCGGAGGTGGGATGAATGTGGTGACGTCCAAAGTATGAGCCGAACTTGAGGGCATCGGCGATGGGAAGATCAGCAAAGTCCTGGTCCCGGAAGGCCACAACCTTGCGAGTGGCGACGTAGTGAGCCAGCTCATCTTTGCCGGCGTCGCTGAGAGAGGACAGCTGGATGCCTCTCACTTCTGAGCCGATGGAGGGAGTGAGCTCCGTGACCTTGACTCCGCTGGGAAGAAGATTGGGGTACGAGGTATCGGCGTCCTTGCCGTGCTCGTAGTGCTCAAAAGGCTGAAGAGGAGGGTACTTTTGCTCTGGGTTCCATGTTGGGAGGTAGTGAGGGTACTGTACATGTCGCGTGAGTATAAGGGCCCGTTACACCATTCGATTGAATAAACTCACCTTGGCAGCAGGGCCGCCAGCCTTGCCCTCCTCGGCGTCCTTGTCAATGTAGGTCAAGTCAATTTCCTTGTACTGTCCAAGATCCAGCTTATAGACGGATGCCGGAACAGGGCCGTTGTTGCTGGTAGTAGTAGTAGTCTCGACCAATGCGGGAGCCATTTTGTATGTGATTTTGCCCTTTTCCCAAGATTCTCACGGAGATAATAAGACAATTCGCTTCCACTGGCCCGTTGGGCACTGTCCTCTTTATACGTTTGCCCAACCTGCGTGTCTTCCCCTCTCTGTCGCGGCCCATCGGTCTCATTTCATCGGCATCGGGCGAACCCCACCCCCACAATGGCATGCATCGTGAACTCTATGGCGAATTGGCGAATCATCCAATCATCCAGTATGCGACTTGTCTGATCTTCGGGTTTTGTGTTTTAGCAGATAAGTGATGTTAATTGGTACCTCTCTTGTCTGCGGCGTTTGGAGGGCGCCGCTGTATCGCACTACCACAGACGATCTGTACGGTGTTGATGCTATTGATAGTGCGAATCACGCAATCCAGCTTATACAGTGTAATCGCTGCAGCAGTTGCACGACCACGAAGCACGCAATATACGTTCTTTTCTTGGCTGATTACGTTTACATGCTAAATCTTCAGCTATAGGCTCTTTCATTGTCCCGATTGCGGCAGCGGGTCATCGCTAAACGGATCTCGTCATGTCTCTGATTGTTGACTGGCACTTGAGGTCCACAGAGCTGGGTTATCGCTTCTGTGTATGCGCTCCAAAAAGGAAAGTCGAATTACAAATATGCCCTGAGATTTGAGCTATTTCTTACGAGTAATCAGATTCAGCTAGCGGAATTGGGTGCGATAGGTGCGTATCGGATCCCAATGTGCAGCCATAATAAGAGATGGCAGCCTGAAGTTTTGTCATGAAGCAATGACGACATATCAGGGCATCTGCCGAGAGCCCGAGAGGTCGACATTGCCCACGATCTTCGAAGGTAATATCGTGGTGGTCCTAATATGATCAAAATTTATTTGTTTGACTTTCTACGGAGAAAGGAAGAGTAAAAGTGATTGATTGCCATTCATGGAAGCCTAGCATCAATCGAGTCCCAAAGCCGCGAAAACGGAGACATGCATTATCAAGTGGAAGGGAACCATGTCGCATTTCGCAGCGAATACCGCATATCTGGCTGAATTCTTAGTTTCTGTTTGATGGGTCCCTTCATTGCCTCATACAGCTAGAAGATGACGAACATATCTAATCTTCACTTCGTATCAACATCTTCCCCAAGTGGTTTCATGTTGCTGCGGCTCTCAGCTGATATACCTGGAAGAGGAATAGATGGTGATGATTGTATCATATTAGTACTGGGAGCCGCAAGAGCAAGGAGTTCCCAAGCCGTTTGCGCATATTATTTATATACCCAGAGAGCTTCCATTGATGAAACAAATGGCCGATAAGGGAAATGTAGACATATGTGTAATGGATCGCGGAGAATGGGGGCGGCTTACTTCATGTCTGCAGAGGAAAGCTCGACTTCATTTACGGTTATAAGCGGGAAATTAGACTTGTCCATGTGGCAGAAGCACAAGCGACCGGTTAATTCAATTCATGCAATGCCATTCAGCCACACCTGTGATGATTGCATCAAACTCGCAACTTATCCACTATACCGTAGCCAACGGTTTTCTCATTGGAGCATTGAGAAATGCACAACGGCCATGACTGCCCAACGCTGAATCAATGGTAGACACATATAACTCACTAACAGCAAATATGCTTCTGATTTTCGGTAGAGCTCACAAGGATCGCTATAAGCTTACAGTAAGGGCCTGCTGGGAGTTCAATAGCAGTGGGGGCGATATTATCCATCGTGTAAACGACTTATTTTCTAGTGTTAGATCTCATGGCTTTGAGGTCTCGCGTATCCGAAGCAGCTAGGGATCTGTGCACTTAGAATGTATCCATCGGCGCGAAAAGGATATATAGTATTTCCCCGTTGTTTTACAAAAGGTTTACTACACGAGGAATATGCTTCATTATCTCTAATGTCGACCTGTTTGTTCGACACTGGCCTCAGACTGCATTCGATCTACCTGGTTCATACCAGAAGAAATTGTAAGTTGGGTAGATCTGCTCAGCGTATGTAAACCCGTGTAATAATTGACCCTGTTTCTAACTTTCATGAATTGAAGAGGACCAACTCTCAACCTATCACCCGTTTTCATTCTTTCTTTTTAGGTCAGTGTTTCCTTACCTCAAAACAACTACTTCACTCAGTGATGCTTACCTTCTTAGTACCAGCGTTTTCTCATGTTTTAAGAAGTGTGCTGTTCAAGAAGATGGTTCTATCATGTAGTATGTTCGATAGTAGCTGACAAACGCTCCCTCGGGCTACCCGTGATTATCATTCGGTTGTAGTATTGCGCAATGGGTTCTTTTGTAATCGTTAGCATCCGTGTGTATAAGAGGTGAGTATGACATCTTGAAGGTTATTATCCATCGTATTGACTACACTGGGGCGTTTACGGTGCGCATCTAATTAAGACCACAGAATACGCGATTGGTTTGCAGTTTATTGGCGACCTCCACCATGCCCACACTCCGATGGGACTGCGAGGGTGCGTTTGCCACTGCCGTGCCTCTCTGGCCAAGAAAAGATTTGAACTCCTGTGATATAAAGGATCCTCCCGAATCAGAGTACATGGCTACAGTGCTGAGATTAAGCATTGGGTTAGCAGGACCACCGCATGTTAGTCTAGGTACAGAGTAATTGAGCGAATGAAAAGCCGTGTAGGCCATGCCTGTGTGATGTCGCGCTTATATGTATCAAAATGGCATTTTCTTATATCGGCTTCTCTTCCTACGTGAGCATAATCCTCATTTGGAATATCACTGCATCGAGAACATCCCGGGCGTTAATATTCGTTGATTCTACTACAAACTCTGGATTATCGGCAAACACTTGTGTGCCCGTTACTAACCCCATCAAACAAGTATGCAGTTCTTCAAATTACTGTTTTCATCTAGCTATAAATATGAGGTTATATATATATACTCGCTGAATATCCCTCTTCTACAGCTCAATGACTTCTACATTATACATCGTTATAAAGGCATCTCAATATGGCTACCAAAACAGTTTTAGTGATTGGGGGAACTGGTGCACAAGGTGTGCCTATTGTTCAAGGTGAGTTGAATAACTCTATGGCTTTGCCCTACTATTTATTGACCTCCTCACAGAACTTGACAAACAAGGCTACCATGTGCGCGTGCTCACTCGTGATCCAGAGTCTGAACATTCACAAAGGCTCCGAAGCGTCGCACCAAGTGTCCAATACGTGATTGGGACACCTACTGATGAAGATGCACCGCGTTCCGCCTTTGCGGGAGTGGACTACGCTTTCGTCAACCTTACTAGTTTCGCCCTCGGTATTAAGAATGAGATATACTGGGGCATAACGACATTCGAGATTGCAGTGCAAAGCGGTGTAGAGCACTATGTCTGGTCATCCCTCGACAATTATGCGCTGGAGACCAAGTATGATGATGACCTGCGCTGTGGTCACTACTATGGTAAAGGACATGCCAAACAATGGATGTCAGCATTGCCACAGAGCCCCATGAAGTGGTCTGTTGTCTGCACTGGGCCTTACGTTGAGCAACTTTGGTACTTTCAGCATCCTAAGAAGTCGGATTCAGGCGTGTACAACTTCCGCCTGCTGACTGATGATGGTGTTATTCCATATGTATGCCTAGATGATATGGGCTATTATGTGCGACGGATATATGAGCACCCAGAAAAATCCGCCGGACTCAACCTAGACATTGGGGTCGAAGACGTCTCACTCGTGCAAATAGCTAAAGCATTCACCGATGCCACTGTTAAACCTGCAAAAGCAACTAATCTCACTATTGAACAGTGGACACAAGAGACTGGGTTGTCGGAAGAGGATATGGAGCACAGAATAGGGACTTCAACAGCACCAGGTGATCCGTCCCTGCTAACATCCCGTCGGGAGTTTTCCGCGTGGTGGAGAATTTACCAGAATTGCGGTAAAAACACCAAGCTTGGACTCTGCAAGAGGGACTACAGCCTCTTGGACGAGATTTTTCCAGGAAGGATCAAAAATTTGAAGCAGTGGATGGAGAAAGTGGGTTATGATGGTAATGCTACGCGTACTTTTGAGGCTGGTATCCCGTGGGGCATGTAAATCCTGAATACCTCTGCGAGCTAATAGCAGTGTGAATGAGAATCTGATTCAGCTGATTCGTTGTATCCCCGGTTGTTCATCTTCTGAGGCACCTTTATGTATACACAAAATTATCCATGGAAGCCCTCTCTACTGGTCTGCAAAAAGCGTGCCATTGAGATACTTGAGACCAGTATCCACCGCCACGGTAACCACCCTCTTTCCAGGACCCAGCTCTTTAGCTAGCTGTATTGCGGCAACAATATTGATCCCAGTTGAAGTTCCAACAAGCATTCCTTCTTCTTTAGCCAAGCGGCGACACATGTCTCGAGCCTCTGCTTCAGGAATAGCACGAACTTCGTCGTATAATCGCTGATCCAGATGCGGCGGGATAATTCCAGAGCCGATGCCTTCGACGGTGTGACTTCCTTTCTGACCCTTGGTGAGCATCGGTGATTCCGCAGGCTCCAGAATTACTATTTTGGCATGAGGCTGCTTTGCTCGTAAAACACCTGCTACTCCTGTGGCCATACCGGCAGTGCCAACAGCACCACAGAAGGCGTCGATGCCATCGCTGAACTGCTCAACAAGCTCGTGTCCGATTTCCCCATAACCAACAAGTGCATCGTCGTTATGGAACTGGTTGGTATAATAATAGCCATTGGTCTTGCTAATTTCCTCCGCACGGCGTTTCAAAGAGGGAATCAGGTCAGCGGTGACCTTCCCGCCAACGCTGGGTACGATATCGACTTCTGCTCCCAACGCGGCCATTGTGCGTAACTTTTCGACTGAAAAGGCGTCGGAACAGACGACCAAGAAGCAATATCCCTTGACAGCAGATATGAGGGCTAATGACGCCCCTGTACTGCCACCGGTGGCTTCAACAATGGTCATACCAGCTTTCAAGTCTCCCCGTCGCTCCGCCTCTTCTACCATAGACCTTGCCATGCGGTCCTTGTAGCTCCCGGTTGGATTAAAGTATTCCAGTTTGACGAAGACTTCTGCAGCATCTTTTGGCACAACATTGTTAAGGCGCACCACCGGGGTGTTGCCAATTGCACTCAAGATGCTGTTGACTGGTTTCGGGAGAGTCGAACTCATGTTGAAAGAAGAGACAAGGTTGTCAAAGGTGAGGAAAGCGAAAAGAGGTGTTCCGATGAGGATATATAAATATTTTGAGTCGAGAAAGAAGAAGCGCAATCACAGACGAAACATGAATGACTCTGATCCCATCAATGTATCGGAGATTTGGAAAAACGATGAGTTATGCTTGACACAACCGAGGAATCTACTTCTCTCCACTCTTCAGACTATCTCCTGCACAGCGCCCTACTCATGACATTGACACCACCATTATCGCGTTATATATACTTATATTTATTAGCTCTTGTTCAAATGAATGTTGACATGCCACTGTGGAACTCGGCATTCTTTGTTGTTCAAGTGTCTATATGGGCACAAAACATCCGTCCGTATCTAGGGAAGTGTCATCTCGAGGCCACCTCCAACATATTATGCTACCTTTCAAATCAGCAGTACCTTAGCATGTATAAATAAAGACAAAGCGACTCAGCAATACACAACCAACTCCTTCAACAGCGAAGCGCATAATAAATTAAGCATAGCATTAGCGCCCTCTGCCATTGCATTCCACTTGAGATGTGTCATTCATCCTTAGTCCCCGCTCATCGGAAGAAAACAGAGTCCTGGCATATGATACCAACTAGGATGAGTCTACGGTATGCGGGTTAGAAGTTTTGGACTAATCCTCATTCGCTACAAGAAACGCTAGACTCCGTGAGGATTGTACCAAAAGATATTGATTTGCTTTTGCTAAGCCGACAGAGAGCGTGATTGGTAAAGAAGAAAAATATGCATTATGTAGTAAACTAATATATGTTAAATGGCGAAACTGCTCCGCAGTCATAGCCTCATTATATAATACGTCGTTGTATCTTTGTGTCGTATTTGGTGAAGATAATTAAGTGGAATCAAATTGCTGCTGGCCGCGTTCTTCCTTGTCGAGAGTCAACTCTTCTGTGCCTAGAGAACTCAGGAAACCTAACACACAGGCTCCCGTCATGGCGAAGAATATGGCTCTGAATGCTTCCGAATATGTTTTTTGAATGGCTAGGAGCGATTCAGCCGGTATATCAAGCGTTCTTAATTTTGGAATAAACCCAATCGCCATGTTCGCATCCCCGAGTTGTTGGAGCTCTGCTGGCAGATATGGGATAATTTTGGAAATAGATGGCTCAAATACATTGCTGAAAACGGAGGAGCTAATAGCAAGCCCTACGAGCCCACCGAGCAATCGAAGAAACATCATGAGGCCAATTACAAACCCAGTATCATTAATGTTGGCCACACTAGCTTGAATCGGGAGCTGAGGCACCCGTAGAAGAGCGCCGACACCCCATCCCCACATAATGGGAATGCCGAAACCCATGGCCTTGGATGAAGATACGCTTAGTAGAGCCAGTTGTCCTGTTCCAAGAGTCACAAGGAGCCAAGAGATCCAGATGCTCCATCTATAACCCTTGAGAGGGCCGACCAATGCAGCCGATGACCCAGCGGCTAAAACACTAGCAACACTCGTTGGAAGCAGAGTCAATGCAGAGTGGATGAGAGTTTCATTCTTGACTGCTTGGTAGAAGAAAGGAAGGTATTGCATCAGGGAAAAGAGTATCATTCCGTGAAAAAAGGTGCCGATAAGTGTAGCCGATGCAGTTCGTGGATAGAAAAGGCGGTGCGGAATGATGGGCATCAATGGTTTGGACTCGTACCAAGCGAATACGATAAGGCCAAAGGCTCCAATCAGGAATGGAAACAGAGTCTTCCATGAGCCCCATGGATAAAGCGTGCCCGCCCAACTTAATGGCAAGACGAATAGTGTGCAAGATGATGTAAAAAGAGCAATGCCTACCCAGTCAAGTTGTTTCGTCCTCTGTATCAAAGGGCTGTCTATCCTCTTTAGCTTGAGGCAAAAGAGCACAAGAGGATACGCCACACCAAGGCATGGAAGGTTAATCCAGCCAATCCATCTCCAAGAAGCATACTGACAGAGGAGTGCTCCAAGAGATGGGCCGAGAATGCTTCCCACCGCAGTCGGAATAGCCATAATTCCAAGATACGTCGGTCGCTCCTTGAGCACGGTCATATCAGCGACAATGATTTCGCCGAGGACATCCAAGCCTCCACCTCCCAAGCCTTGGAGGAGGCGTCCACTGATAATCGCTGGCATATTAGGTGCTAGCCCGAAGACAATAGATCCAACAGCAAAGAAGAAGAAGGCAACTTGAAATAGACCTTTGCGGCCATAAATATCGGATAAGCTGGTGTATAGCGGTTGTGTGACGACAGTGGCTAGGAGGAAGGCAATGCCAGCCCAGAATGATTGAAGAGTCGTACCATGAAGTTGCTCCGCAATAGACTACAAACTAGTCAGCAATTCTGCACCAAAAGTCTGTAGTAAGGATAGACTGGGGCAGCGTTTCAATAACAGCTGTTCTCTCGGTAGCTCCGGGTATGCTAATAGGTGAAACGGAATCAAGAGTTGCGTACCGGTATTGCCACTGAGAGGCCGGTAGAATCAAGGGCAAAAATAAAGACAACAATATTGATGGCCAAAAAAGCGAGGTAAAAATTTAGAGGCTTTCTCTCGCTTGTTTGTGCGGTGGAAGCCTCTTCACGGGCGACTTCTTCATTGGCCGCATATACATTTGCAGAAGTCTTTTCCGTGCCGTCCGCTCCATCCTGGTAGAAAGGAGATGATTCGATCTGCGGCTGGGCATCACCGCTTTGGATCATTGTTCACACTTGCCAAGCACGTATACTCCGGAGAAGAAAAAACCGCGTAGATTTACTGTTTCGGGGGATGGAGCATGGGGTGTAGCGCTATTGCTCAGTCCAAACGAAACTGATAACTATCGGGCTGCAATTGGCGCTGTTCAGAACATTACAGCAGCCCGACCAAGTACACTATAACGATGAATATTACGCAAACTGTTTTATTGGAAGAAAAAGGATCTTGAACGCGCCGGACCACTTAGACCAGCAAGACACGGCAAATGCACGTGCATTGAAGCAGGGTTCATTCTCCGAAGGAGCCAGTTTGCCGAAAAAAACAAAAAAAAAAAAAAAAAAACAAGGGCCGCAAAATGAATATGCGCGGACAAGATGGAGAAATACGCTCACCATTTTAGATGAGTTTAGTTGGGTGGGTTTGTGCGGATTGCCTGTTTCTGTATGCTGACCAGCCCTCGATTCTCTCTCTTTGCACGCCCTTTGGGAGCGTACGCGTACACTCAATGGATCAATTCCAGTGGATAGAAGTTGGCGTCGACTACCAACTCTTGATTATAATCTAGAGGACTATAGTAAGGTACCTATGATAAACACAGCCTTTCCCCCCTTCGTCTCTTCTATGATTGTCGTTAGGTGCGCTATAGATGAATGATGCCTGTCGCGCTCACATCTATTGTCCTTCAGAGGCCTCCAAAAATGAGTTCAATATGAATTGACACTATCGGCAAAATGAAGGCCGTCTTACAGAATTTCACGAAGCAAACTGAATACACGAATTCCTAGTCTATAGTGTCTATATTATTTAGCTAGGTACCTACGAGCAGCGGCTCGTCACCAATTGTTGAACCACTTAGCAACATCAGTCACTCAGTTACTTCGAACCATTTATGTATATATCCCACAAATAACACCAAACTTCCTTTTCTTGTAGGTAGTTTTCTAAAGACTCAAAGGTTGCAGTGACCAATAGCTATAATAAATCACAAATCAGATCTATTTTGGTGCAGAGCCCGGTCCCACGGGGCAGTAAACTCGTTTTGGCCGAATGCATAACCTCCGGGTCGAGTAGGCGAGCGGACGATGAGAGGAACGAGTCCTGTAGTTTCTATTACAAGAATGGGCGGTAGCCGCTTTGTTAGGCGGATGAGAAGTCAGTGATTGAGCTTGGGTGCTGAAACAACGGGGGAAGATGCGTTTTACAGAGACTGTCCATCCAAGATGCGGATTTTAATGTTGAATGACCGGCTCTTGAGGGATGATTAGACTGACTGACACCATTGAGTTGAAGAGCAAGGCGCACGGAGCGAGGAAGTCCGTATAAGCCCTCCACTGAAGTCTGGGCAGCATATGATTCGTAAGCATCTCAGTTACCCATTGCTTCGATAGCCCCGGCGGCGAGCTGTATGTGTTGGGGCAGCCCAGCCTCCGAAAGAATCTCCGCGTCACCTAGGGTCTTTCGATCCCTTCCATAATAGCCTTCATCATCCAGAGAGTGGCTTGGCCTAGAGGAAGCCGAAGTCCCCATGAACTCTCTCGATATCTATCAAGGACATCCACAGGCGACGAAGTTTCGAGGACAAAGGGACGGAGAATGCAGAGGAAGAGAGACGGCGAGATCCGCCAATTAGATGGCTGCGATCCTGGAGATCACTGGAAGCCTGAAGCGCCATTTCGATATAGTTATTGCCGCCTAAACGTGTTGAATGTTTGCAAAAATCCAGGATGAACGCGTCTACGCAGCTGTAGAGGCATCACAAAATGCCAATCCCGAAAGCCCGCAGAGATATAAGGGAAAAAACAATATCATGGCCGCTTCTGCTCGCAACTTGTGGTATAAAGAGGTGTCTTAGTCTATGAAGGCTTGCTTACCTTAAAAATGATCCCAAGGTACACCAGCTTCTCACGAGTTTGAAGGAACATCCTGTAACGGAGAGCGTCTCAGGCAAGCCCAAGCCAATGCTCTGCGTCCTCGCGCTCTTCACACTCCGACAGGCATTCATCCCACAATTCGCCTAGCCTTCCACCGAGAAACACCGTAGAGTCAAGAGAATCCGTTAGGCAGAAGAATGCATCGATGACGACGCAAAACGCCAGCATCAAAGTGAGAGCCGGGCGTGCGATGGCGGGAGACCGGGGAACCATTGCTCTGAGAAGCGGATTGCATCGTGGAGAGAGTACAAGATGATACATCAAGTCAAGAAGACCTACGTGATCAAATGAACAAATACTGAGAAAGAATAGTATACGAAATGAACAAACCAAGTGTCCCAAGCTGCAGGGACCTTTGTTTACACAAACGAATAGCTCATATTTGCATCCTATTTGTGACATAGGACCGCGAGTGTGTGACAGTGCGCATAATCGAATATTGAATGTCGGGCAATCCTGTTCCCGGCGCCCCCTTCTTGTCCCATCATACCCGGGAGGATGCGGCCCGTACCGAATGCGAAAGGTCCGCAATGTGAGGCTTGATTGTGTGACGAATTAATTTCCGAGCGCACGACTAGTGATAATTTCCTAGACTCATATCATGGCGTGTGGCTACACGATACAACGCATTGATATTTTTGATGTAGCACTACAATTTACGCAACCTGCATATTGGCAGCTGTAGCTTGGTGGACTATTGCGGGCAAACACGAGATTTTGATATTCTTGGAATTCATCTAGGGGATACGCCGAGTTGATGAGTGTTGCTGCTTACAATAGCCTCGAATTATTCTGCATGATACGAGTCTGCGTAACGACACCACAGGATCAATGTGACGCAATGGACAGAGAACCATGACTGAGGGCAAAATACAATGACTTGGCGTTCAATGTATTTAGACCCTCCTAGATTAATTACAAATGCTTGCTAACATTTGCTCAAACCCCGATCAATAGGATGAAAGAGACGGCTACGTATGATAGGCTCAATAGCGGCGAATATCAATTTGCGTGAGCGTTCTCACCTGAGTCAAGTGCTACAAAGTTGTATTACCTCCAATACTGAGATCTTTGTAGGCTGTATGCATTATGTGAGCATAGGTACACAAAGATAAGAAATTTGCTTGCGACACCAACTCTTTCTAGCTTGAGGATGGTGTCACACATAGGCTAGGTAGCTTAACATGTACTTTTCAAACTCAAGTAAGGAAAGAAAACATATGCCAAGTTTGTTAAAGCGGCTTTGCTCTTGGCAGTTCTATGACCTTTGACAAGTTTAGTGTACTTTTGTTTCCTGACTTGAGTTCGGAAGAATGGACAGGTGAAAAATAACTTGAAAAATAAAAGACAAAAAAAGAAGCCTTCCGAAGAAGAAATCTAGCTGGACATGAGGGGAATTGAACCCCTGACCGTTCACATGCGAAGCGAAAATCATACCCCTAGACCACACGCCCATTTCATTACATAATCTGACGCTCAAGTCTCTAATACAGCTTTGCCGTAGTTGCTGCTGAAGAGTTTGTCGAATCGTCAAAAAAAAGAGACAGAAAAAAACTGGACCCGAGGGGAATTGAACCCCTGACCTTTCACATGCGAAGCGAAAATCATACCCCTAGACCACGAGCCCAATTATATATTAGAATCGCAGCAATATGTGGCTATACGAGTTACTCGAAATCCTGCAAAACAAAGCCAAACTTGAATAACAGCGCAGGCCAATTGATCCTTATTATAAGAAGCATGCTGTATTTGCCTACATGAGACTGATGGCATTGGGCTAGATGAATTGATCCGCTGTTGAATAGATCTGTATTTTGGCTTGTAAATTGGACCCTATAAGTCGCAACACAGCTCTTGATTCATCAAGTCACAGTCAAATAATCCTCAGCAAGGCCCAGAGATTGCGTATATTAATCCCACCCGGCATATTTATATTGAAAAGAAGGAGAAAGTATATTTATAATATCTTGACTAATTTTAATTGAAATACAAACTACCTTTAGTCTTCATCATCGTATATTCCGATGCACCAACTATAGGTCCCTTTGTAGCTAAACAAAGGAGCTCTTGATGAACGCCGCGACGCGTTCCGTGTTTTTACCCTTGTGTAACATAGTAAAGTGGTTTGCATCCTGTATACGTTTGATGGAGAGGTTACTCTCTCCCAGTAAGACATCCCAATTGTTACCTCCAAAGTTGGTTCGATTCTCCAGCAACCACCGCATTTCTCGAGGATCATCGTCTCTATACTCCGGGCGTTCATCAGTGTGCTTGCACACACCATCTTCAGCCCAGAGAATAAAGGTCTTTGGTGCCGGCGCTTTACCATCGACTGCTTTCTCCCAGGGAACTGGCTTCCACTCATCAAGAGCATCGATAAACGCAAGGAAATGAGCAAGAAGCCAGTCCGGTGCCTTGCCTGAGCCAAAAAGTCCCAGGCCGTTGATAAAGTCGAACAGCCGCGCGGGGAGTTTCTCCAGGCCGATTGGGTTGGGAGAGTCGAGGAGGATAAGGCGCTGGACGGTTTCGCCTTCTCGAGTAAATTGAATTGCCGCTTCGTAGGCACAAATGCCCCCTGCAGACCATCCACCTACGTTGTATGGCCCATGAGGCACTCTGCGTCTAACCTCTTGGACGTACAGCGATGCAAGACCCTTGAGACCAAACTGAACCAACTTCTCGGCGTCTTTGAGCCATGGGCAGTTGAGACCATACACACAGACATCTTTGCCAATTGCATCGATGGGTCCGTATGAAGTTGCGGAGCCAGAACCGTCTGGGAAGAGGAACAGCGTATAGGCCGCAGTCTTGGGGCTACCTTGTAGGAGAGTTGAAGTTGCGCGATACTGCTTCAACTCTGCGGACATCTTTGGCAAGGCTTCTTGCACGACGTGCGCGACTTCTTGCACAAGTTCTTGCTCAAGCTCTTGTTGGAAGAGGTACCGGAAGGAACTAAAGGTGGGATGAGAGATGAAGAAGTCATCCTCCAACTCGAGTTCCAACTCTTCGCGGAGACGGCCGAGCACAGTCAGTGACATTAGTGAATCCATGCCCAATTCACCAAGATCGGCGCC